CAAGCAACATGATATGAAAGCTATTGTTGGAACGCATTGTTACCAAAACGCACTGGCTTTTTTATACATTAGAAGTTGTTTTATAAGAAACCATTTCTTTTTCTATGTGGTTTTTCGCTAGCCTGTCTCATTAAAAAGATGTGCAAGCACGTAGATAATTGATAATACCTATGTGTACACCCTCAGGGTCCACTTAGTATGGGTGCAAATTTTCAGGTTTCTAGGTTCTTTCATCTTGGAGCTATGGCGTTCAAACATACACAGACACGCACGTGCATGTCTGTCTGTGCTTTCTATTATGGCGTTCAAACATACACAGACACGCACGTGCATGTCTGTCTGTGCTTTCTATTCGTAATATAAGGAACCACTTTTTTTCTATGAGGTTTTTCGCTAGCTTGCCTCATTAAAAAGATACTCACGCGCATGCGCGCCCGTGAATAAGTAATAATACCCAGGTGTACACCCTCAGATCCACGTAGTATGGGTGCAAAATTTCAGGTTTCTAGGTTCTTTCCTCTTGGAGTTATGGCGGTCACATACAGATACGCCCTTTAATTTTTATAGATGACATGATCTTCTACATGTAATTTTCAGACTAATGTCTTACTTTAGGTTTTCAAGTTATTAGTTTCGCCCATATTGTATGAGGAACAGTGTTTATTTTTACTTTAAAATGACATGATCTTCTGCATGTATTTTTTAGACTAATGCTATTTACTCCACAGCAGTTAATTATAAATTCGCGGAAGTACACGTGTGAAGTAATTCACTGACTGTAGGATTTTGAGAATAATGTATAAATTTCAAAACAGTAACCTCAAGCTTAAATAATTTACATTGTTTTACTTTCTCAAAACAGTAAAATTTAATTATGAATTAAAAACAATTTTTTAAACGCCGGAAGACTTCACAGGAGAGTTCATAGAGTGTTGAAGTTTAACCATGAATTTTAAAACCTTTTTAAAACGCCTGAATTTTTTGTATTAAATTTCTCAAAATGGTAATGTTTAATCATGAATTATAAAACTTTTTTAAACGCTGGAACACTTCACGGTAAAGTTTGAATATTGTAGCACATCTTATATAGTCATGTACAAAGTATTTATTTTTATTGTGATATTTTAATGTTAAGCCCATCTAACAATCTTCGAATTAATTTGGGTCCTCCCAGTGGGTCAGCGGTGAGTTTATTGACTTACAACGCCAAAATCCGGGGTTCAATTTCCCGTAGTGGACAGAGTACAGAAAGTTCATCAAGTAGTTATGCATTTAAAAAAAAATGAATTAATTTCGCGATTTTTTAGCTATGTCACGTGATCCAACCTGAAAGTGTGTTACATTTGTGTTATTACACAATGTAATCACGCACGTACGTAGGGGGGGGATTCGAGGGGGTTCGGCTTTTTTTTGTTATGTGTTAAAAATTATGATTATATCGCAGCTGCTTATGATATTCAACGTTGTCTAAAAAGTCTGTATTTTTCTGTTTAAGTATTAGCATTTTTTTGCTTGAAATATTTGCATGCAATGGCTTCTGTTTACGCTTTGTAATTGGAAGCCAGAAGCCATATTGCAACTGTCAGGTTTTGCAGTAGGTGTCTGTAGTTTGTTGGCGACAAATTCAACAATAAACAAACGTCAACACAGTTCCACTTGTTTTGAAACAATATATCAGAGCTTTAAATAATTGTCTCTTTTTCGTCCAAGTCTACACGGCTGATTAATTACCAGTGGTGTACACAAACCGAAGAAAGACTGAGTGCCCTAGCTTCAATACATAGTCATTATAACACTGCTATCAACACTGGAACTGCATGTAAGTTATTTATGCGAAAGCGCCCCATATGAATGGAGCATGCTAATAAGTTATTTCAGTAGTACATACATGTACGTACTTGATAGCCAATGATTGAAATAGGTAATATATTATTGTGGCACATATTTATTTAAATCTTGTATATATTGCAAACCGTGGTGCCTGTCCGAGCGTTCGTCTGTCTCCCGTTTACGGCGGCCGTTTTCTGCGCTGCATTTGAAAAGCTGCGCGTGCAGACATTTACTTTTGAAATAACGGGAGAACAAGCATGAGTAATGTTGATGCCAAGTAAGCATGATATTCTAAAATAAATTGTTAGGAATTAATCACATTATCATTCACATTTCAAAATGTGACGTAACTTAAAGAATAAAAATGTAGATTTACCATATGTTGTTGTTGAGTGGCTTTTAGCATGACTGAAATGCTCAATAAATACTTTTCGCAAAAGTGCAAAACACTTAACCTTTAAAGTTCATGAAATAATTTAAATTGATAGATTAATTTAAACTTTCCTGTCACTGGGGACGGGTATTTTTGCTTGTTAGTAATATAATTGAACAATAATTACTCTGCATATGAATAGTACAGTACTTTAATATAATAAAACATACATATTTATGCTAATTTAAGTCTAGCGTGCAGTGTTACAACAGAATGATGATTTCTTGACTTTTCATTGGATGTTTATGGATTTTATGTGAAAAATCGTGCATTGTTAAGCTATATTTTATGCAAAATTACTTCAAAATTTAATCTCTATTATTTTACAGATTTTCTGGGGGGATGCCCCCGGACCTCCGTAGCATTAGCATCCTTTGCATGCTGAATATGTGTTGGCTTTTGATCTCACAAATTTGAACCCCCTTTCAAACATTCTGCATATATGCCTGGTAATTGAGCGAAATCAATCTTGAATTTATCTGTTTAAAGGTACACTTTTCAGTCTTGGAATGACTTACAAATAAGTGTACCACTTCCGTTAAATATAACCTCAATATACCTGTATCTAGTTTCACTTGTTCTTTGCTGTAGCCCCCTAGTGCATCAGCGGTAAGTCAGGAAGTGTTTTACGCTAAAAACCGGGTTTTGATACCTGTGGTGGGTACAGCACAGATAGCCCATTTTGCAGCTTTGTGCTAATAACACAAAACAAACAAAAACCTTTACTTTATGACAAGGGCGCTCGCAGAAAAAAAATTAGAGGGGGGTCAAGTAACTCAAGTTTGAAAAAATTATGAAATCGAAATACAAATAACTTATGATTTTCCAATAAGTGATGATGAATGACACCTGTAAACAAACATGCATAGTGTTTGATCTTACTTAGAACTGATGAGGAATGATACTTGTAAACAAACATACTCAGTGTACTTAGAACTGATGATGAATGACACCTGTATACAAACATGCATAGTGTTTGACCATACTTAGAACTGATGAGGAATGATACTTGTAAACAAACATGCATAATGTTTGCTCTTACTTAGAACTGATGAGGAATGGCACCTGTAAACAAAAATGCACAGTGTTTGACCATACTTAGAACTAATAATAATGACTTCCAAAAACAAACATGCTCAATGTATGATCCTACTTAGAACTGGTGATGAATGACTTTCCTAAACAACTTGCTCATCAGTGCAATAATAGTTCTCAGATGTCATACAGCATGGGCCCGCAGGAAGAGGCAAGGGGGGTCACTTGACCCCCCTGGATTTTCAAAAAGAACAAAATTATTAGACAGGTAAAATTATTCTTCTATGTGTTTGATCTTACTTAGAACTGAGTATGTTTGTTTACAGGTGTTATTCATCATCAGTTCTAAGTAAGATCAAACATTGAGTATGTTTGTTTACAGGTATCATTCATCATCAGTTCTAAGTAAGATCAAACATTGAGTATGTTTGTTTACAGGTATCATTCATCATGAGTTCTAAGTAAGATCAAACATTGAGTATGTTTGTTTACAGGTATCATTTATCATCAGTTCTAAGTAAGATCAAACATGAGAATAATCAAATCGTTGATCTGATGTACGGTACAGCAGGACATTACGACAACAAATAAAATTAAGATTTACAGCTGTTTTACAATTATTCAC